TGATCCATGGGCCCCACCCCACCCCCACTGCCATCGCCACCCCCTAACAGCATGGGCCACCCGATGGACCCCTTCACGTGCGGCCCTGGCAATTATACCGCGCTGCCGGGGCCGCAACACATTGAAGGCATTCAATTTCGTAAAATTTCTGCAATCTATAACCTTGGCACAATATATATGACAGTGCTTCGCATTTATGTTTTCATGTAGGAAAAGCTGAAACCCCATTTGTGTTTTTGTTCAATTTCTACATGTACCTGCTTGAGCAGAGATTACTTGTCTCTTGCATATATTCTTTTTTTTTTTCTCTGTAAGCACATAACACATTTGCATAAGGCTTTTTTGGTGTACACTTACTAGAAGCCTGTGTTAGCAACATTTTACGGAAAGATTCCGCAAAGCAATTGCTATGAAAACTCATCTGCATTCATTTTATAACAGAGTGTGCGTGTTAAAAAGACTGAAATATTTCGTGGCAGTTGTGCTCTTAACTATTGGACATATCAAACTAGCTTCAGGCGAACGAAAACAACACTCGGGATTTCAGCTCGCCGTTCATGTCAATTTAAAAAATAAACGAGTGCTTAATCTTGCATAATTAAATACAAAGCCATAAAGGCAAAAACTCTCTCTGTAATCTTGTACAGTTTAAACTGATGGATCTCTGTAGACATGAGAACTTTCCAATTCATTGCTGCACAAGCTGTCTGTGGGCATTGCTTTTAATAATATCCAAAATGTATTATATGTTTGTTTCTTTGTTTGTTTATAATGTAGTGGAAATGCTGAGTAAATGATTAATAAAAACATTGTTTTTATAATAAAACGTGAAGGTGGTAACTATTGGCATTAATGTTTAAGAGCATGTTATTTCATACTTTAGAAAGTACAGTAAAATAAGGCATTACACAGGTCAAAAGGGAATCAAAAAACGAAAATGAAACAGGCAGATTAAAATATCTATATTTTAAAGACCTGTGAATTGTAAAAAAAAATTAAAAATAAAATAAAAGGATTTACCCTGTCTCCTGTATTTTCAGCATTGCTATATATATTTTTGCAACAAATGAATTCACATTTTTCCATCAGCAATCTCACCCTATATAAAAGGCAAAGTGTGTGAGAAAACACGTAGGGTGATTTTACCAGTGCCCATAAAAACCCACATAGTAAATATGAGTTGGGTCTGTAATTCAAACATTCACTAGCACTCAAGGCAACAAACCTTGTTCTGTACAGCAGCCGAGCACAGATGACAGAAAGCCATGTGCACAGCACCCATTTTCCTGTAAATCTTATTCTAAAAGTAAGAGAGCATCCATGGACTCCAGTCCCCAAAATATTTGTATTGAGATAAACTTGTTTGGTGGGTGAAGAGTCCCTTTAAGACAGGACATATATGTTTTGTAAGAGATTATATTATTGTATTGAACTTTTTCTAGTTGCTTAGCATAGTTGTAATTGTAGATCCTTTGAAATCCCTTAGTAGTAATGCTCATTATAATACACACCAACAAACTGTTTTTTGATTTGTTGATTGGTGAAAGCTATTGCTTTGGAATCTCTAAGTTGAAAATGTAACATGATGGCCAGGACCAAAATGATTCAAAATATATATATTGAGTAGGGCCGGACAAAGTCTGTTCTCAAGTTTACCAATTTTGTAAATATCTGACCCGAATAATTCCTCTCAGTTGGGTTGTTAATTATTTGGTTTTTTTTAAAGTACTGACAGTGCCTACTGCTCGGCCTCTAACTTGTTATAAGCAGAGGTTTATGTACCTTTTGTTATTACAAATATTATAAATAATAAAAAGAAATTGTCATGCCTTCCTTATAAAAATGTTATCCTACTATACTTGCATTCAGTACTTCTGTTCACTGTTATTTTCTCTAAAAATAATACTGCAGCCTAAGGTAACCTCTCTTTATTCAGTTCGCTATGTAACTTTTCAGAAACTAGAAAAAAAATGACCATAATATGCAAAGTATGTGGTATCAGCAAACGGCAGTGTTGACAACCTCATTTTCAGTATTTACGACTTTCTTGTTGTTCAAACATAAATCTGCTCCAAAGAAATAATTGCCTTTGAAACAAACTAATCCGTACATAGCTGGAAGAGCCAGCAGCACATTGCAATGAACTAGGCTCTGACTGTCCTTAATATGTCCTAAGGGGGTGCTGTGGGCTTTTTTAAATCCACATTTTAAAAAGAAGAAGGCATTGGTCAGGATTGATTTATTTATATTAGTTAGTTGGGATTCTAACTTTGTTAATGGACCATAACTACTCTTGTCTGTGTTACAGTTGATTTTGTTTTCTGTTTTCGACAGAGGTTCACTCGTGTCATAGTAAATTTCACAATTGACATTGACACCATTAATTTTGTTATAAAATTAAGTCATTTTGTAAGATGTTGTGATACTCCCTTTGGTGTGTCATCTAAAATGAAGACTGTATTTGTTTTAGGAAGACTACAAACATTTCTCAGCAGTATATTTACAGGAGTACAGGACCAGCCCGAAACTGAGGAACTTTGTGTGATGGAATTGGGGAATTAATTGATTACATACATGCTGAAGCCATTAAATCTGTGTTTGAATTTGACTTTCCATGAAAAGTACCCCTCATGCTCTGCCTTTAACATACCACATTGTAATAATTTATACTTGAAATCATAGGATATGTTCATATATATTTACTTTTGAAATTGTCAATTATTTTAAAATACCATAAAGAAACACTATAAGGTCAGGAATATAAACACGTATTCCTGTCCCTATAGTGTTAAAAACACTATTTAGCCCCCAGGACAGCAAAGTACCCAGGTTCAAATCCCCTGTCGGGCACCCATGGGGCGGCCACGCCTGGCTGTCTGTATGGCACGGTGAGAACCCTGACAAGATTGTCTGAGTCAATTCTGATTAGCTCAGCGGGGTGGGGGTTGGGCTTAACACCACCCTAGCCAATCAACATCTTCTCATGGGAAGAGTTCAGCGTCTCCATGCATGGAGCACTGACCCAGGAAGTACCACTAGTGACCATCTGAGGCATGGCCACAAGAGGTATTCCTAGGCTGTGATGTAAACTCTGAAAAGGCAGTGTTTACAACAGAAAGCCTGCAGGGACCAACTATAGTCACCAGAACAACGTCATTAAGCTGTAGTTGTTCTGGTGACTAAAGTGTCCCTTTAATCGACTATGAGTAATATTTAGGGGGTTTTGTGGGGGGTTTTGCGGAAATATTCCTTTGAGCAGATCATTGAAAATAATCTTCATGATCACTTTTCTTTCAAATTTATATTCAACAATGATTACATAACATCACAATCAGTTCAGTTCAGGCACAGCCAAGGCACACATTGCAAATGAGCAGGAGAAATAGAAACATTGTTTAATCTCTTAACTTCTTTGCATATGGCAGTCTGCACAGAGTAAGCATACAAAGGACACAGTTTATAACAATGATTGATAGAGAGCTGAAATGAAGGTGCCCATTTGCTGGATAAAGATGTGTGGATTCCTAAAATTTGTTTTTCGCACCCTACAAACACATATATGTTCAATGTAGAGGATAAGTAAAATTTATATTTAAAAACCCAGAGAAGTTACATTTTCTTTCTAAGTAACATAGTGTACTTTTTTGTTCTATTTTCTTGTTTTTTTGTAAATGTAAGCTTTCCTCTGGTATTTAAAGATTAAGAGCAGCCAAGGAAGAGGACTTGTAATGTGCCCGCGGCATTCTAAGAAGACCATCATTATGAAACATTTTCCTTTGTTTTAAAACATCAAAAAAACACATTAAATAATTATAAATCATTTCTCAAACAAATAACATTACATTTGGACCACAATAAAAGGTACTTTAGGTAAAATCAAATATTCCACCTGTTTAAAATACGCTATATATACCTTTTGGTATCTTAAATTAAAATGATATATTAATTATTGCTTATGTTTAGTTTTCACTTTATTTTCTTGTATACCTTTCCTTTCATATAGGTAACTTTGTAATTATTATTTATGGTTACACATTTATAATTGCTAATTAAACAAAAATAACAGAAAACCTGCCTGTTAAGTGGCAGTGAAAGACTACCTAAATTTATTATATTTAATACTCCTTAATTTGTATCTCTATTATTAAGCCACCCAACTTGGATGTTTTTACACAAACATTAGGATGTTTTGAAGAAATTTGATTATCTTGCACCAACTATCGTCCATAACTTGTTGTGGTCCACTTCAACGTTTTCATCTCAAACACAGTATCCCACTTATCAATCTTATCGAGAGGGCATATATACAAGAAAATATTGTTACTAGTGGGCTCTAGCCTTACCTTTTTATCATCCAATTCCATCTTCCTACTGATTTGTTCAGATGGTCATCTCAGTTGTGGATTTTCTAATGATTGTACTGTTTTTAATTTCATCTGTTCGGGTTCTAAAACACAAATACCAGACTTTAAACTACCTACAGATTTATTTTCCCTGCATGTAAAATAACTCTGATTGAACACCCCTTTTATTACATTCCAAGTCGAATGTTTTAAACCTGACAAACCACATAAATCTATGGCATGGTTCTACAGCCACCTTTTTGAATGCAGAAACCTCCTATCATTTGCTGTAACCTCCAAATATTTGTATGATTTTGGAAAACCTATTCTACTAGACATTAAAAATAATAGTTAGCAGTACCTTATACTTTGCTGACTATGTTACCTATGATACCTACTAAACAATATTGTGATAGAACCCTGACCCATCCCTTCTCCAACTCATTCCCCGACCAGTGTGTCTCTGAATTTATCTTTTTCAGAACCTACTTCTACAGGTAGTCGGATTTCTTTCAGTTATAAGAATTTTGTTGAAAGTGGCTCTCCATTACAATCCATTCATAAAGAAATAGACCAACTTTGACACTCTCCACTTTTACGTACTCTTGTACATATTGTAGAAAAAACCTACTCACAGTATGGCTGCTCGAAGGTCCTCATACATCTAAAAAGCTGATTAGTAACTGGAAGATTTAGTTCTCAATGGAATATCTAATTGAATACCTTCAGGACTTCACAACCAATCCCTTTAAAGACTATTGTCCTTTGAGAAGAAATCTGTTCCATTATCCTTTATGCAAATCATGAGTCTGTTCATCCAGCTTTAAAAACGTCCTGTTATCCTTCATCTCCCTTTTCTTTTTTGTCTTTTGCCCCATCTTCTACTCATGGTAGTGTTTATTCTATAATGTTTTATGTTCATGGGATAGTAAACCCAGCCTTGCATAATACTGCTCTCTCTTTCCCGAGTATTAATTCCATTAAATAAATATTTTCAGATTCTGTGTTTTACCCTCTGATTATTTACATTTTGTCCAAAGGCTTACTAGATGTTGAATTCATTCCCTAATTGATTTAATCTATTATGGTACAGAAGAAACATATTGGCGAGGTGGTAAAGGCTTCTCATTCCTTGGAGAAATCCATTTTGATCAGGCACGCTAGTAATTTGGTGGCTTCATGTATACGTTTGCCAAGTATCCAGGTAAACATTGTGCTTCAGCTATTTACATCTTCCACTTGGCTGTCAAACTAGTTCTCAGTGTGGATTCTGGATTTGGAACACTTCGAAGCTTTATTTAGACACCAGGCAGGCATTAGATGCCTTTTCAGTTTGTTAGCAATTGTTTTGATCTGTAGCCATGACTCGGGATACACATTGCAGCATAAATAAATAAATTTAAACATCCTCAGCACTTTCACTGTGCCAAAAAAAAAAAAAATACAGTAAACTCTACTATTGAGAAGTCCTCTTATAGGAATGTTCCAATAATAAAAGTCCTTTTTTTCATTTACCAGCTAGATTTAGGTTTCTTTATCAGGCAAAGAAAGAAAAGTGTTTCTGACACTTTGACGAGTACTGCTAGATGTGCAGTTACATGATTTGGTGCTTTAAACTCCCCCTCCCCCCCAAAAAAAATAAAACCATATTTATAAGAAGCCTTCTCTGTTTCCTAATTTTGAATTTGTTTCTGTGTTACTAGCATACAAATATTAACCCCTTAACTAGGTTAGCACTTAAAAAATAAATATTAGGATTACACTTACTTGATATATGGGATTCTTACATGGCACATAAATAAATATATGATAGTAGAAACATTTTGTTTATAGATTTCTGTTAAAAGCTAAAATGAAAACGATGCAATCTTGCACAATTTATATATTCATTGATTCATTGAACTTGTTTTGAAATTCTACAGGAATCAAATATTTTAGACATATTGTATCTAGCACTTTGTAGTATTTTTACACAGGGTTTGCCATATAGTAATTGTGACAAAAATAGATTAATAAATTAAGTTAGATAGCCTGGTGATGGATATTTGTAAGGACTGTGATATCATTATTAGCAATACAGTTTCCTAAAAATGGTGAGAGAGAAAAAAATTAAAGTAATGGAATGGAATCTTTGCTGGAGATTAAAGCATGTTTCTTTTGGTTTTATGGGCTAAATTGTGGTTTGCATTGCAAAACCAAAGAACCTTTAAAGGAACACACCAAACACCTCAAGTACTTTAGCTTGATGAAGTGCTTTATGTGTATATAGTTCATACTCTTTAAAAAAAAAAAAAATGTTATTTGATAAAAAAAAAAGTGTAGATTTCAATCGAAATGGGCACTTTGACAAATGTACCTTGTTACAATCCCCAGGATTCTTTCATATTCAGAGCCGTATTAATGTTGCCAAGTGTCCTAGGCATGCTTAAATGTGGTGCACTGCAAGAGACCTGGGTTCTGTTTCTGTGAATGGTGTGTGTGTTGACTGAGTGTTGTGGGTGTGAGAGCGTGTGTGGTGGCTGAATTTTGAACGTTGTGTGTGGTTGCTGAATTGTGTGTGTAAAGGAGTCTTAATGGGCCTCAATGTTGTGTGTGTATGTTTTGCCCCCTCGTGGTCCAGTGGAGGGTGAGCAGTAAGCATGATGGTCCAGTGGAGGCAGAGATTTGACCATGGTGGAATGGTGAGTGAGCTCCATCATCTGTACCAATATTATGTACAGAGCATTTTAAGAGAGCCCTTGCATATCCTGCTCTCAGACAATGACTCAAAGCACCGGCTGTAGCATTAAAGTCATTGAGAAACACTGGAAGGACTGCGAGGGCATTCTACAAATATGTATTCCTAACACTATAGTGCCTTCTGGCCCTACCTTCTTGGCCAAAAGGGCTAAAACCTCTTGTGTGTACTTACCCGATTCCAGTGCAGATGTCCCTTGGCTCTGAGTTGGCGCTTCCACTCTTTCAACGGGAAGCAGGGCCAAAGCACATGCATGGAGAGCACTGTAAGTGCATTAGGCCCTTTCCATAGGAAAGCATTGAACCAATGGGGGTCTTCACTGACGCTGGATGTCCACATGCAGAGCGTGAGGATGCCCAGCGTCAGTTAGGCGATCTAAAGTCCAGTAAAATTCCGGAAGTGCTGCAATGTAAATATTGTAGTTTCTCAAAAACTGCAGTGATTTACATTGAAAGACTAAGGGGGACAAGGACACTGCATCCAGACCACTTCAATCAGCTGAAGTGGTCTGGGTGCCTATAGTGTCCCTTTAAAGTAACCTGTACCTTATATTTGTGCAAATCACAATGCTCCCTCAATGAAGATCTGAAGAACTTGCTCAGAGCCAGAACTGCAGGCCCTGTCTGAGCCTAGAAGCAAGGAGGCTACCTCGGTTATCTAATAGATAATCCAGCTCTGCTTATATCTGTTTTCTATAACAACAGAAGAAGTTGGAAACATTTAATGTATGATATCACTTTTCAAAAACATTTAATTAATGGGGGGAAAAAAATGAACAAGGGATGACGCCCATTAAAAAAGATAGTTTCTTTCAGAAGTGATTGCTTGGGCAATTTTGTCATTAGACATTGAAATTTACAAAACTGCATGCGATGCCCAGCTGTGTCTATGCTAGGCCCTTATCTGTTTGTTTGCAGGTAATTTTAATAACCTCATTTTACAGGCACAGAGTCTTCAAGATATTTATAGATGCAATAGAATTTGGCATTAAAAATATATATATATTGTAGCATGACAGAAATTGCCAGTTGAAAGGAACTGCTTTTTTAATATACTTTGCTCTGAACATTTCATAGTACCTGCAATGCATTTTATTTTTCATAAATCATAAAAGCTTTGGGTATTTACATTTCTCCACAATGAAGTATCTGACTCATACTGTTAGACTTTAAACTGTTTCAATGTAATTGAATTAGCCTGCGTGATATTTTTTCCACTGCTAAGCCATTATTTGGTTTCCTCTTAATTTAATTTGTATTCTATTTTTTTTTTTTTATGCTTCGTACGTCTAGCGCTATTTTTATCGGTTCTTCCATCTTTATTTTATATTTTTTTCTGTTCTTAAACTTTTTTATTTTTTTTTATTTTGACAAAGTATAAATTGAGTCTTGCAATCCCTAATGTATTTTTTAACAATTCAAAGCAACCTTATAAAACTTGAGCTACAAGTGGTTCTGCCTGAAGTGTTTAAACGTTTCAGTACCTAGTTGAAAGAGAAATGAATGATGTATTTCATTGAGTTCATTTTACATCCTGCTGTGCATCGTTTTAATGTTAATCTTTCCTCAAGGCCAGGAAGCACAATGCTATCTCTGTATTTCCTTGTCTACCTAGATCATCCGAAAGCAATAGACATTGGAAAATAAATATGGAATCTGGAAAAGTTACCAATACAATACAAATCGGGGCACTAGAATTCTATAAAAAAGATGAGGGGGCTTGTATTCCTATCAATAAATGTATAGATAATGTTATAATATATGTCTCTATGCTCTTCTGCTAACTTAAAGAGCCAGTCCATGCAGCGTGCGTAGTGTTTATGGTGCCTTACTTAGGTCCTGCCAGTTGCCTGTAGCTGAATGCCGTGTTTCCAGAAGCAGCTGTTACTTAGTGCAAGGAAAAGCTGATTGGCTGAGAGCACTTAGCTGGCATTCTCAGCCAATGAGTATGGTCCTCCACAGATGGGCTTAGCTTAGTGTAGTTAACTAGACGTTTTTTGCAGGACTCTGTGGTGTCAGGCAGATGCCTGCTGGAACCAGGAAAACTTACTTCTTACTCTAGGACAGAGCCTGGAACAATAACCACTAGTTATCACGGTTATTGTGTTTGGAGTATTTCTTGTATTTTTATACCTGGGTACATTCTATGGAACCATAATGCATAATGGGGATTTACTAAAAAAAAATATAAATAAATATATATATATATTTATTTATTTATTTATTTTTTATCCTGTTTTTCATGCTTTGCAATTTATACTTTTCACTTGTCTTAAAAGAGTTAAAAGTGTTCAAACATTGTAAGAATGGGAAATGGACAGTTGTTTGCAATCTCTCTGCAAGATGTAGAGTGACTAACCAGAACCCCAGAGGTGTTTTTTGTCTCCATGAAAAATTGTCATAGCAAGTTACCTGCCAACACAGACTAATTCTCATGAAAGATGGGTGTCAAACAAGCCAAATGCCAACTGTAATAAACACTAAGAAAGAACTACATGTCTTAGCCAATACCCTAGTAAAATTCATTTTAGCTCAGTTATGCCAAAGAACTTTCTATAAGCAATCCTAGGAATCCCCTCTGCAGAAGAGTCAGAGCAAACTGTGCTGTCCCTGTGAAGTCTGAAGATGCTGTAATTTTCTTTGTCACCTGCAGCAGTCAAGGACTGGCATGTTGTTTTTATGACAGCTGCTATGTGGTAGGTTGGCTATCTAGCCTTAAAGCATATAACTTTGCTTAGATAGAACATTTTTATTTATTTCATCACCATAATTCTTTGTTACTCAAAAATTGCTTAAAGGTCTTCTTTGCGGAGGCCCAGCGTGCGCATTGTGCATGCACAATAGCTTAATCTCTCTCCATTAATTTACAAACTACCATCTCCTGTCCTAGAAAAGACTGAATAATGTGTTTTGTTATGCATTTAATCGGCTTCCTGCGTTGTGCTGCTTCGGCAATGTTCCCACGATGTCAGGAAACAAAACAACATGATTGGGGTGTTTAGTGGATGTCCACAAATGTCTCCAGTTTGATATATCAGCACAGGCCAGTTCTGTAATCATCTTGCACAGTGGGCAGATTGTCCGTATATATCCCAAAACAAGCACTATTGACGGAAACAAACTGTACTA